AGACTGACTCACTTCAAATATATTACTAGTTTGCTATATATATATAATATATATATATATTATATTAGCTGGTTGTTTCTTGTGTTATAAGTATATAGTCATATATATTATAATATTATAAATATAGTAGTGGTTAATCCTCCGCAGTTGATAGCTTGCAGATTATGGCTGACGCGTTAAATCACGCGCGCCATCCTAGTTTAGTGCGCTCGAAAATACACGACTCAGGCGACATGGGATTATGGTGTTATAAGGAAGCCTCCACCGGGGGGCGCTCGCATTTGGGCTCCCGTTTTGTTGGGCGTTGTCCCCGGGGACTGAGGCTCCGCACGGCTGGGGATCGTCATGGTCCCCAAGGATCTAACTTGCTTCGACTTTCTCCCTCCTCGTCTAGAGTCGCTGCTCGCTGTCAGCTCGCTATTTTGTCGCTCAATATTCGTCGTAGCTCGGGAGAAGAAACCAAAGGAGTTTCTGTACTTTCTCTTTCCTTACGGCCCTTATTTTTTTTTATTTTCGGGTCAGGAGCTTCTTGTTTTTTGTTTATCTATGGGATTTTAGGGGTAATGATATGCATCCCGACGTCCTATTAGTACCGGTTTTTCTCGGCGGACGGAATATGATTGAAGATAAGCTCGCCAGGAGCACCTGATTACTAGTAATTCTATCTGTGTCTTACGTGCCATCTTTTGAAATCAGCACTCCAAAGTGGTCGTTATGATAGATCTGGATGGTGTCGTGAAATGTTTACGTGTCGCTCATTAAGCTATTTCGCTTTAAGGTAGCAACCATGGGGCGTGATTACTTTTTTGTCTTTTATTTTTTTTTTTCTCCTTCGTGTGGATCTGCAATCTAATTTACAATAGTGAGTTACCCATACCTACCGCAAAGTACAGATAGCGTGAGTGTGTAAGAAACCAGCAGCCTAGCTTACAGTATAGGGTAACTAGTAGGATCGTGAAATAAAAAAAATACATAAAATAAATAGACACTGTTTCATTTGGTGACGTGTCTAGTTTGGTCTTCGACTGAAAACTAGTGGATATCCTCTTCTAAAATCCTCGCTCGCTCCCCTCTCACGTCCATTACCTCACCACCCAAGTTTCTTCGTCTCGTTATTAATGATTTTACTCTCTTATAGCGCTTAGCGCAATCTCCTCCTTGCACGTTTTTTTTGGACCTACAGATGGGTGGTCAACATTTTCAACGCTTATATCTGCAGGGCGAGAGGACACGTACATTACAGTTTTTATACTGTTACATTAATTGCACTTTTCTGGTGCTTTGTTAATGCAACGGCTTAGCAAATTGCCAAATATATTAGGTTGATTCATGTGTCACTCACTGTTAACTTGGCAGAGGACTTTCTCCAGCCTGCACATTTTTTTGTGTCCTTCTTTTTCCGCATACGACTTTTCTGTATCTGGCTTTGTTTTGTACTTTGTTTCATGGTTTTACTTAATCTGATCCTCATGCACCAGCCCTGGGGGGCCTATGGCACGGTAAAGAGAAGTGCCTCAGCCTATTCCTATCGTGGAAAACCTTACTGGGCAATAAATCCGTGATATTCTGCATGGGTTCTACATGAGTGTATCTTTCTATTCCCGCGTGCGCACGAAAATAATATGACCCATAGATAATGTCTTAATATTAAACCTAGAAACCCTAGTAATTGATCAACAAATCTTAGCGTCTCACACAAAATATAAACCCAATACCTCTTCTCTGTTTATTTCTCTCCTTTACTACTCTGTGCTGTCTTAAACACCGATAATGTTCTACCCTCCCTCCCCCCAAATCGACCTCGGCAAATAGTTTGTGTTGTGTTAAAAATGAGTGCTTTTGCCTAATAGGATGAAAATGTTTCCCACTGTATATGTCTTTAGTATTAAGTGCTCTTTTACGCCACTCCTTCTCGCAGTTTAATTCACTCTATTACCCTGTAACTTCGCCACTAGTTGTGCCAGGTAACCGATAACAAAAAGCATCGCATTATCCGCCCAAGCTCTTGTAATTCGTATGGGATGGCACATTTGCTAGACATTTGTACCAACCTCTCCTGCTAATTTGATTCTACAGCACTGCATCCCAACTTGCTTCATTTTCCACCAGCTGGACAGACCAATATATACAGACCTTATTCTCTCGTTCAGCTGTATAAACGGATTCATTTATTCGATATAAACTCATTTCCTAAATATATTTGAATTGTGGAATATAGACTCACTGTTCCCCCTCATGTCGAGCACCCCCAAGGAGTCTTGATGTATTAGCTGCTGTCGAGTTTTCAAAGCTTGTATCTGTATGGTAGTTTAATGCCCAAAATAAAATTTAACTTCTTTGCACAACTTCTTTTAACTTTAACATAACCAATTTGCATTCTTCCTAAACTTACCGAAATTGTTAAGGTATGCTTCAGGGAAAAAAGCCATGGGGTTGAACCATTTGCTATTGGGACTATGGGGAGTTTGGCGTACCATTACTTGCTTATTTTCCAATGCCGGATGAACTTCGCTATGCTCCTTAACATCGATAATATGCTCCAACCCAGAATCATTTTAATAACACTTTTTGGGTCGGTGTTTTCATGCTCCGGCACGCTCCTCTACGAAAAGAAGAAATGCACATACACTGCCGCACTATTCCTTGGAGCACAGTTTTGCCTTCACTTAAACCACTCTCTGTCGGCCGCACCTCTAGTTCCGACGGTTCTGTCGATTAAGATTGCAGCATTTCTTGAGTTGATTCCATCACTCTTGCACCAAGATGCCTACAGGTAAAAACAAAACAGAGACGAAACGGCAAACTATACTGCTCGGTCCCTATGGTACTCGAAGTTCATCAAGTACTCTCTCTTTTTCAGGAGGTCCACGCTTTACCCACGCACCCGCAAAATTCAATACGTAAAACTAATAAACTGCAACATAATTAACTATTATCATTACAGACAACCCACAGGGAATGCCTCTCGGGTCCACAGTGTGCATGTTAGTGCAATTAACTATTCTAAACAGTGACCTTCTCATAAACATATCAATACCCTGGACAGTGAGGCTTCTGGTCCGCTGCAAATCGCCAAAAGAAGTCCATGCTGTTCTCAGTGTGCAGCCCAAATAGCACATCCCCAACCAGGATGATCACACTGTTAACGCAATACTTCATCTCCTTAATTCAAGTTGCTCTGAACATCAAAAAATGACAAACCCAAAAATAAGTATTTCCTGAACAATCTGACCAATATTATAGTCAATTATTTATTTACTTGCGGTAAGATATTTCTGTGCCCAAACTGTATCGATAAGTCCCAAATGATATCATCAATAAAAATGCCTCACTCCACAGCATTATATCCGCACTGAGCTAATTATGCAGCTTTTGAGCATACATTCGAATTTGTAAGTCTGACATTATCTGAAAATTCAATATCTACGTTTTGTTTCTTATGTCTCCTATTACTGTTATGAAATAAAACCAAATATTTTTAGCTCAGATTCAATGTCGTTGTCAGACAACGTGCGCTAGCGGATAAAAACACACATTCTGGACTAGCCCAGAGTTATATAACTATGATTACACAAATACTCGTCATTAAATAACATGTATTTCTTACCGGGCACTTAGTGCGAGAAGGCCGAGACACCAGCACCTGCATCTACCATTGCCTCAGGTCTTGCGCTTGTTTTGTGTGGACTAAATATTAACCTTTCTCACCTTTTTGAATCACCGACATGCTCCTACTAGTGGACTAAGCTCACCTGTTGCTGTGGTATTTCTAAAATCGCATAAGCGAGACCAATTCCAGTAAAATATATAATCCGTAAATATATGAGAAATCGGGAAATAAAAGAAATGAACATTAATCGCACCGCGCTTTCTCCTCCTCTTAAAGGTGCATGACCCACTTTCTCATAAATTATTTAAACTGAATTTAAGTCTTGTTAACCAAATCTGCCGTTGTGTGAGAAAAACTAGCACGCTCTATATAATAAACACCATCAACATACCACAAATACCATAAACCGATGATCAGGTATATTCAATGTGTTAGAGTTCATGGAAGTGTTGATTTATAAAAGAAAACCCAAGACAGCAACAAGTCTGTGTAATATATGTGTAATACTAGACCCTACTATTTGTAGTTGTCCAAAAAACTCCCACTCCCAGTTCACACCAGTCAGTCAATCTCCATATTAAAATGCCCAGCTATACAGCAGAAATAAAAATGTGTACAACCATGTTTTGGTTTCTGTAGCTAATTTCCCTGTTCATGACAACTGTACGGGGGTGAATTTTTATATAACTCACCCGTTTAAATTATATTAAGGCTTTAAGTTCTTTGAGTGACAAGTGGGTTGAATGTGTCAATACTAGGCCTACCGGTAAATTATATGACCGTTTGTGGGTAAGTGCTGTCCTGTATTGTCAAGAAAATTCCTGAAAATGTCCTGGAAAATGATTTCTTAAAAAGAATCCCTGATTTTGGAATGACTGGAAAGATGTAGGCTCCCCCTTGTGGCAATTCAAGCTTCAATCAGGAAATCAATATAGGACTGTACATTAGCGAGCTAGGCAGCTTTTTCATGATTATTATATTATAATGCAAATTCACCAGTTTGTACTTGTCTGAGTGTGTTTTATCGCAGTACATGATGATATTGTATATCGTCACATCACTGCTGTTGCTTTATTTTTTCCATCTTCATTTATTGCCTGATAACTTTTGAACAGCAACACAAGCTAGCCATGTATACCTAATAAACTAGCCACTGAGTGTGTCAACTGGGAAAAATCTATTCTGGATCAAGATTTCTGTAGTTTAAATCCACTTCTCTTCTTATCTAAATACCATAATCTTCATCAGCCACTCTCTCTTTCTTTTTCTCCCACTTAGATTCTTAATGTTCCAAAGGAAGCGGCAGAGAATCTACTGCACCTCACACACAATCTCCGCAAGACAAACGACCCCACGGTAAGTTTGCATTTGTGTGTTAGCTCTTACCAGTTTGTTAAGATGTGTGCCATCTAAGTCATTTATTTGTGTGCGGTGTGTGTCTCCAGGCACAGTCTCTGGCCTCTTCTCTCTCCACCAGACAGCTGTTGAGGATCTGTCGCCGTCTCTCTCAGTACCCTGAGGAGAGCATCGCCCACACTGTCAAAAAGGCTTGTCTTTCCAGGTACACACACGCACTCAAAAAAAAAGTGTGTTTATCTTGGCTTTGATACAGATGATTCATTTTTGATAAAAAAACAATGTGTTTTAATGCTGTATTATTGTGTGCACCAGTGATTAATTGCCTGTGTGTGTATGTTTTAGGTTCCTGCCCAGCCTGGCCCGTGCTTCTCTTGAAAAAAGTCTTGCTAACAGCTCCATACAGGATAAACCAGATCCTGCTGAAAACACTTGTGACTTCAGCTGTAAGTTCCAGTCAGCTACCTAGATAAGATTTATCTAACCACATTTGTTACATTTGTTTTGCTGCTATTTTAGGGTTTTTCCTGGGTGAAGCTGATTGCAGGCCACCCATCAGTGTTGCAGTATCAACTATAAACAAATACAGCATAGACAAAGCTGTATCTAAAAGGTGCAGATGGAACTAGTATTTCAATATCCTCAAAGAAAAGAAACCATTTAAACCACAATCATTTCTGTTTCTTTAAATATAAGAATACACTCAGCTTAACCTTTTCACAATCAAGGCTGTTTCTGTCATCTGAGTCATACAAACAATCATTATGTTTATGGGTAATGATTTTAAAATTAATTGAGTGTGTGTGATTATTATACTAGCATAAAAAGTGTAGTCACTGAAAGACTGTAATGGGCCTTAAAACTAGAAAAAATGTAAGCAAGTTGTGCTTATTACAAGCAATGGAAACTCAGTAATTTAAGATTGCATTTTTGAAGAATTTGTGCTATAATCTAATATTAATAATTAGCTAAACAAATCTTACAATAAGACACAATTTCTTCAAACAGCAAAATAAAAATCAGTGACTTTGACACCAAAAATGCTAAAGGTACAATGAAATGCTTAATTTCCAACCACTTTCTCTTAAACTGAGAAGTTCTGCAAGTGGTCTTCTTCTTAAAATAAGTTCAATTCCATTCAATTCAATTTAATTCAATTTTATTTGTATAGCGGCAATTCATAACAGAAGTTATCTCAGACACTTTTCAAATAGAGCAGGTCTAGACCGAACTCCTTTTAACATTTACTGAGACCCAACAGTACCACCATGAGCAATGGTGAATGAATGGAACGGTCTCAGCTAAAATAAAGCCTCAAAATCAGATCCTTTCTTTACTGAACTCAACTGTTGTTCTCTACAGCTGTGCAAACGATCTGACACCCCTCCTCTCTCTTTCTCCCTATTGTCGACTGAGTAGCTTGATGGCAGGCAAAAGTGTTGATGGGTTTTGATCATTTGTGAGGGAAGGGAGTCCACTCTGCAACTGCTGTACAAATGCGACTGTTTTTGTAGTTCCAGCAGCACCAACAAAGTTTTCTGTTGTAAAACCATCAACTCATCATGTTCCATCGCTTTATTACAGTTAAATTTCATTCATGTATCAAAATAAGAATCATTATGTTTTCGTTACCTTAGAATGGGCTGTTTTCAACAGATGCCACTGGTCGCCTTACATGTACGTCATGTTTCTACAGTAGCCCAGGAAGGACAAACCAAAAACTGGCTCTTTATTGGGCCATTTGTGTTTCACACGCGGTTGGTTTTTCCTTCATGCTTTTAAGGGGAGGATGAAGTGAGAAAGTTTCAATCTGCAACTACACCCCTGCTTTTAAATCTGACACACTGGACCTTTAAACTTTCATTCATATTAGATCTATAATTTAGGGTGATGACCTTAATAGTTTTGAGCCGAGACCATAAATTTTTGGATCAAGTAGTTTGTAAAAAATTAGGTGTGACAAATGTAGTAGCTACAGCTGTTATTTCAGTGTTCCAGATAAGTATATATAAGTATCAGACTCTGTGCTCCGACATTCCTAGTTCTCCTTATGTGACCAACAAAAACAAGCATGCAGAAGTGAAAAGAATCTGCTTTGATTGGTGGGGGAATTGGGCATTTTTTTTCCTTTTCACGGATTCTTCAAGTATTTGGGTAAAAAAACAAGGACAAAAGACATTCTCAGCAATCATAGTTTCATTGGTGGCTTAGTAGCTTACTTACATTATAACTTGTGTCTTCCCTGCACTTTCGCACTGCAACTTAATGCCACCACAGACCACAAGTCAAAGTGTCCCATTTCAGTCACTTTGACTTGCGTTGGTGCTCACAGCTGGATAATAGAACCGTGTGCCATGCTGTTTTTGAAATGAAATCGAAATTCAGTGATGGTTGAATGCTTCAACTTGTGGTTTGTGGTGTGTTTCAGCTGCACATAGGGTCAGTGGTAATTACATATTGGACATTGGGAATTCATATTACACACAACTGACATTAGGAACTGCAGCAATGGGACTACAAAGGTGGAAGAAAATCCACCATCTGATATAACAAAAATTCATATCATCAGTTAGCAACACAAGCACCATCTGCTGAAGTTTGTTCATGCTTGAACTTATACTCTTTAATTACACCTTTAAATGTTTGGATTTGGAGAATTCCAAAAAGTTCAAACGTGGCTTCAAATCTTTTTTCCGTTTTTCTTTATAACATAAATTATTCATGAATATTTAAAAATACTTCAAATAGTAATTCAACAATCAATCTACTTTCTCAGTTTATTACACTAGTATTGATCCTGGCCCAGAGAAAATCCTGTAATTCTTCTAGACACATTGGTTCTCAAAGCTGCTGCATTCGGGACAAGCCAAAGGTGCCATGAAATGTATCATATCATTCACATTTATTGTACGATTTGAATAACATTCAACCATCCAACCATCAATCATCCAACATTTAAAAAACTCAAGACATTTACATTAACTACATTGTATGTTACGTTCTTTGGGAGTTTTTTAGGAGCTCAGCAGTCAGAAAAATAGCGAATGTCAGCAGCGATGGAAAGATTTGACAGAGTAAACAGAGCTCAATTATGTGGATAAATCTCAGTCCTTGACACAGTCTGACAGAACTGAATCTGAGCCCACCAACAAAACTAAAATCAAATTCAACACTACTTGGCCAACAGCTTAACAGGCAGGTTTTGGCTGCTTGTGGGAGATGGATATCCATCATTGTCAGATAGCACATTCACTGTGGTATTGCGTGATCCCAGCTTCTTACAGTATGTGTGATTTATTTTTCTCCTCTCTGGTATACATGAAAACAACACAAGAAAGTGCCTGTCAGAGGAGTCAGACCTGGGGGTTGTTATTAAAATACCTGCGACCCTTTCTTGTTTTCAAGTACATGTCACAAGTCACATTTTTCCTGCCCACTTCAAACCAGTTACAGAAATATTTCATGTGAAATATAACTAATAATATAATGTGTACAAAGTGTGTTCATGTAGGACTCCATATTTCATACAAAATAACGTTTTAGGGCCTTCAGAACTTCTTCCAATATGACTGTGATCTCCCTCCAGGTACAGGAGCTGGTAGAGGACATTAAGCACTCCCTGGACCTGCGGCTGCACGAGCTGGACTGGATGGATGAAGCCACCAAGGAAGCTGCCAGAGCAAAGGTTCGGGGGCCTAACTCAGCTTGTGCATCAGAAACGAGACTCCCTGCCAGATCCGATTAGTATTTGAAAAGAATTTAATTATTTCTTCGCAATTCCTTTCTTTCCGGGCCTTTGATTGATTGCTTGGTTAGATGGAAGTGTGTGATAGAATACATCAAGGGTTTGACATTGAGAAGTGAGGATCGCCTAATCCGGATCTCACTGTGGTGCTGATTTAGGGTCTGCACTGCAAGATATCCCTTCTAATACTTTTACAATCTTAAGTTATAATCCTTTTACGGGGCCATGGTGAATATAAAGAGCTTCCCTGTAATCCTATTACATTGGGTTTGCTTGATTAGTTGATGCGTGTGTGTGCATGCTCGGATGGTTGTGTGCCTGGGTCCAAAAACGAGTGCGTATGAGTAGTTATTAGTTACTGCCAGTGGATGTGGGGTGATGTTGGACCAGTTGTTTCTCCTCCACTTTCTCCTTCCCTCATCACACTCTTTTCTTCCTCTCTCCCAAGCTGAAGCACATGATGGTGATGACAGGATACCCAGACTTCCTGCTCAAACCTGAGCTCATAGATCAAGAATATGGGGTGAGTCATGTGCTTCCTATATCATTCTGCACTGTCCGGTCATCCTCACCCAGACACACAAGCACCCACATGTCATGCGAACGAATTCCACTTTCTGTCTCTAGAATCCGTTAGATAGAAGAACACATCATACACAGTAAATAAACCTGAAACACACTGATGAGACTGTACAAATAAATCATATACTTTAAGTACGTTGATACAACCAGGAGGCCGTGTACATAAAACTGGCTAGCAGGCAGCTCAGCTGTCAAAAATATGCAATCAAGACTCTGTTGATGGAAAACTAGTGGAGGCAGCCGTATAAACAGATGTAAACTATAGATTTAGGGAGAACTGGGAAGAGTTGAGTATTTGCTTAAATGTGAGTGGAAGCCTAATCCAAATTTCAAATCTGTAAACTGATGCATCATGAAGGTGGTGCTCAAAGTAGGGTAAGTGATTCTGTTCCTCTCAACAAAGTCCTTTTGAAACAACCCACATCTGTAGTGAAGACTAACTCATTTTATTTTATGTTATTCATTTACAATTTAAACCTTTGGGAACCGTTAAGGCTTCCCTCATTTGCAGTGATGTACAGAGAAATACACAAGAGCACAATACCCTTCCTAAGCCACACCCTTTTTGCTCCGTGCTCCAATAACAGTTGAGCAAGCCTCTGTCAACTTTCTCCTTTCCTGTTCTTAGATACGCGATGAAAAGTCAATCAAACTTTAGAGATGCTTATAAGATAAAGGCAACATATAAATATTCAAAACCTAAAGTTAGCTCATGTTAGCAAAACATTAGCTAACTAGCTAACAAACAGTTGACATAGCTCGCTCGTTAGCTAGCGTTTACAAACACCAGCTTTTAGATGTAACCATTGACCGTTTATATAGTAACTGTGTATGTAACTAGCTAGCTGAGGACGAATTTAGATTAGGTCCAGTCCAGCATAGATGTTATATAGGGTGGTGAATGTCTAATAAGGGATTTATGGATGAAAAGATACAAGTGTTTGCCACGCCTTCATGCCAGAGAGGACCAACCAATGTTGTTAATGGGGAGTGTCACAGGAATCTCCGGTAATGAATCTGAGGGCAGAATGATGAGTGTGAGGGTTTGAGAGTGGAAGCAGCAACATGTCTGTAGATTATATCACCATAGGACTGATAGACATACCTCAAATATACTTTTACTACAATTCAAAGGAAAGCTTGGTGTGGAGGACTTAAAAGGCACAGTTATGGGCTGTCAGCTCACAGCTTTTAATCACAACTACAGACAAGCAAAGAGTTGCTTCACCTGTGTTACTGGTTCCTTTCCTAAGTTAAAAGTTTCCAGACTCAACAGTGGGAGGTGGTTTTGGAAGCTGTTAGTGGCACATTTTCCTCCATCTGCTGCCACAATCTTAAATAATGCTTTGCACAGATGTGCATTTTTGTCACAAACTAACAGAGGCACATCTGGCCCTGTGAGACTAAACAAGCAAAAAACAAACAAGAACGATGATGTGTTTGCTGTCAGTTTAAATGATGGAGATGTTACAAAAAGCTAGTTACATTAAATTATTGTGGCAAGTGACCAAAACCTGTTTTTAATCTGTGTAAAATAAACCACTGCAAATGCATTTTAATGTTAGGCACTAGCACCACAACAAGGGGAATAGCCCTAACACACACACTGAGTCATTAATAAATTGTGTCATGAGCACCACAGATTAGCACTATTTACAACGTAATAGCTAATTAGTAGCTGATTTAGTTTCTCTGTTCAAACCAACTCACTTTACACATCCACAAACATCCAGCTGAAGGAGTAGTTTGATATTTGGGAAATCGCTTATTCGCTGACACAGAGGTAGATGAGAACCAGTGTACTGTAATTCCACAGCTTTTGGTGGTAACTAGTATTGTAACAAATTACATTTTCAAATTAAATAATGCAATTACAATTACTGAAATTTAAATAGGTATGAGCATTACTTATTGCTGCCCTCTGGTGGTCAGGAGTATTAATAACTAGATACATTTTGTATGTTATAAAATCAAATATGAAGCCACAGCCATCAGTTGGTAAACTTAGTGTAGCACAAAGACTGGAGGCAAGGGGAAACAGCTCCAGATAATTTTAGCTTTACATTAACCCTGTGAGTGCTATCAGTCTTCTCATTTAACTCGTACAGCGTACAGACATGACAGTGGTATCAAAATTCTTATCTTCATGTAGTGCTTTTCCCAAATTGTCAAACTATTCCTTTAATAAGCATACAGAAAAGGTGTTCACACTCACTTCATCTGTGTGGTTTTACAGTTTGATGTGGATGAGAAGACCTATTTCAAGAACATCCTGAACAGCATCAAGTTCAACATCAAGCTGTCAGTCAAGAAGATCCATGAAGAAGTGGACAAGACGACGTGAGTGCCACATCTCCTCATATTACACAAGCTACACTACCCAGCTCTCTGAGCTTACTGACACGCAGAGCAAAGCAATTAAAGAAGGTTAATATATCTGAAATCCAGTCTGAGCTCATGCAGCTGAGGCTCACACCGGACATTGCAGTCACACCACTGTGAGTGTCTGTCTTTCTAATATGTTTGACATGCCTAACATGTGTCCCTGTGAATCCCTTTTTAGTTTGACATATTTGTTGATGCGCCTCTAAATTAAACAGATACCAAATCGACACACACAGCTGGAGAAAATCCATTTGATTTACTTATCTATAGCAGCCAGGCAGCAGCAAAGTGCTGTGGGACATGCGGTTCATTTTTCTGAAATACAGCCCCGTACTCCCGGATTGAGTGATTCTCTGCTATGACAACACATTACAGTCACATTAGTATTCCAAGGTACTCAAAACAACTGTATCATTAGCCCACACTCAATGCCCTGAAGAGTTAAATCACATACTCCCCCTTTATCACCAAAAAGTGAACCTTTCATCACTCACTCTGTCTTGTCGTTAGGACAAAAATAAAAAACGAAACACTCCTCCTCCTTCTCACTGTTTGTCTCCCCTCTATCTCTCCGCATTCCATGCAGAGCCATCAGTCTTTCGCTCCTAGAACAAGGGCATCTCACACTTTCAGAGTTAGTCATTTGGGGGATTTTGTGCCAATCGATTGGTCTGGCTTTAAGTGGATTACCATAAAGAAACTGTCCGCGGTTTCATATGCAGAGAGGAACTTTGGCCGTGGGACCACACACACTGAATATTTCTCACCAGGGGGTTCAGAGAGAGATAGAGGTGTTTTCGGATTCTGTCCAGGATCGGGGTGGTTTCGAGTAGGTAGATTGGTGATTTGAGTGTGTCTGTGTGTGTGTGTGAGAAGGATCCCATCTTTAAAACCCTGTTGTTTGACACTGTTTTTCTCCCTAGGTGGCTTCTCCCCCCTCAGGCCCTTAATGCCTACTACCTCCCTAACAAGAACCAAATGGGTGAGTGCGTGACTCTTCATTGTACATACTGATATTTGTGTTCTCTCTGTCATCTGTCTCCGCACACACACACACACACACACACACACACACTCAGGGAGGATGCCTCCGTTCAGACAACAGACGCAGCTGAACGAGAACCGGACGGACTGAACCGATCCACCGACACCGCCTCCAGGATCTACCGGGCTCAGAGTCACCGGGTCCGGGCCGAACCTCCCGCCGGGCCGGGCCGAACCTCTTCCCCGTCGGTGTGATTATCCTGTGAGTCCCGGAGGACCGGAGGAGGATGAAGAAAAGCAACCAGAGCAGACGGGTTGGAGCTGATTGATATTTCTATAATGATCATTTAATTTATCATCAATCATCCATCACATATATTGATCTTCTGATAGAGTGATCAGTCTATGATCAGTTCTGTGATATGAATCAATATGAATATAATATTTCAGTCATTCATATTCACACCGGTTAATGCAGTAATATTAATTATAATGCAGTAATATTATAGTATAATACTACTACTACTAATAACAATAATAATAAGAAGAACCTAGATCAGACTCTGACGGTTCTGGTGGTTCCTCTCTGACCCCCCTTGGTGTCGTGGTCTTTCAGGGCGTTCAGGACTCGGGTCAGCAGGCGGTCCAGCAGCCGGACAAAGTGGGCTGGATCAGGAAGTTCTGCGGCCGAGGGATCTTCAGAGAACTGTGGAGGAACCGGTTCGTGGTCCTGAGAGGAGACCGGCTCTACGTCTCCGACAAGGAGGTGAGCAGGACCCACACTTATCATTATTATTATTATTATATTTATTATTATATATTATATATATATTATTATTAGTTGTTGTTATTGTTATTATTATCATAAATATAGGAATATAGGCCCCGACCACAACCACGACCCTGACATATCAGAACCTGCAGTTCCTCCATCGGCCACTAGAGGCTGGCTCCAGCTAACGTTAGCCATGATGCTAACTTATGATGAACAATAAATGATGTAACGGTACAAAGCAAGGCTAGCAACCTGTTAGCAAGCGAGCTAAAGCTACAGAATGATAATATACGAGCGTTGCAGTAACGTTAGCTTCAACTTTGACTTTTCAACAGCACTTTTATTTATTATTATTTATTTATTAAAGTCATTAAAGAGCTTAAAAAAGAGGAAAAACAGAAATAATTAGTTGTTTCTCAGATAAATATTTTAATTATTTTATTCATATATAATAATTATTATTATTATTTCTGTGTATTTCAGGTAGTTTTATTTCAGTTTGTTGATTTGTTGTTGTCTTTATACGTCTCTCTCTCTGGAGGTCAACCGTACAGAATAATGACTCATGTTGTTGTCTGTCTGTGTGTGTGTGTGTGTGTGTGTATGTGTGTATGTGTGTGTGTGAGTGATTCCTGTAATTATTCTGATGTTTTTCCTCATCTGTCGTATTGTTTCTGTATTTGAGCACTAACGTTGACCCAGAACTCTTTACCGCCTGAGGGACGTCGTCTCTTCGTGCAGAAACATTCAGACTGTTAAAGCTCCTCTGTGTCACATTAATATAATATCTATGTTTATTTATTTATTTGTATGTTTTCATTAGTTTATAATCAGCTGAAAATAACGGTAGCAGCAAAATGTGCAAAAACCACAAAACGTCCCTCCAGATCCAGATCCAGAGCTTGGTTTGTCTGTTCTGTAGAAACATGGCGGACTGTAGATGTAAAGACGTCTCATTCTCAGGTGACGAACACACAACGATTCGTAGTTTGAACGTTATATTCCAACGACAGAGCGTCGTCATTGTCACGCTGGAGCTCGAAAACCTGGTGTAAAGGTTTACGTCTCGTTAACGAGTTATTCCTGTTCCTCC